AGGAGGGAGAGGGAAATAGAAGATGGAGAGGGGAGGGGGGAGAGGAGGGAGAGGGGAGGGGAGGGGGGGAGGAGGGAGAGGGAAATAGAAGATGGAGAGGGGAGGGGGGAGAGGAGGGAGAGGGAAAGAGAAGATAGAGAGGAGAGGGGAGGGGGGGGGGAGAGGAGGGAGAGGGAAGTAGAAGATGGAGAGGAGAGGGGAGGGGGGAGGGGGGAGAGGAGGGAGAGGGAAATAGAAGATGGAGAGGGGAGGGGAGGGGGGGGAGGAGGGAGAGGGAAATAGAAGATGGAGAGGGGAGGGGGGAGAGGAGGGAGAGGGAAAAGAGAAGATAGAGAGGAGAGGGGAGGGGGGGGGGAGAGGAGGGAGAGGGAAAAAGAAGATGGAGAGGGGAGGGAGAGAAGAGGAGGGGGGAGAGAAGGGGAGGGGGGAGAGGAGGGAGAGAAGGGGAGGGGGGAGAGGAGGGAGAGAAGGGGAGGGGGGAGAGGAGGGAGAGAAGGGGAGGGGGGAGAGAAGGGGAGGGGGGAGAGAAGGGGAGGGGGGAGAGGAGGGGAGGGGGGAGAGGAGGGAGAGAAGGGGAGGAGGGAGAGAAGGGGAGGAGGGAGAGAAGGGGAGGGGGGAGACGAGGGAGAGAAGGGGAGGGGGGAGAGGAAGGAGAAGGGGAGGGGATAGAGGGAAATAAAAGAGGAGAGAGCGATAGAAGGAAGGAGAAGGGGAGGGGATAGAGGGAAATAAAAGAGGAGAGAGCGATAGAAGGAAGGAGAAGGGGAGGGGATAGAGGGAAATAAAAGAGGAGAGAGCGATAGAAGGAAGAAGAGGGCGAGGATGGGGGGACAGAAGAGGAAGAGGGTGTGAGGTTTCCAGGCCTCCCTTCTTCTGCCTCCCCCACCCCCCACACTGTCCTCCTCCTTCCCTCTCTCCCACTCCTTGGTCCCCTGTCCTCCTTCTCCCATTCCTTTCTCTTTCTCTTACTTCTCACTTCTCTCTTTTTCCCTCTCTCACTCCTCCCTCCTCTGTTTTTCTCTCACTCTCTTCTCTCTCTCATTCTCTCCTCTCTGCTTTTCTCTCATTCTCTCCTCCCTCCTCTCTACTTAGCCTATTCCCCTTTGCCCTAACCTAGTTTTGCCTTCTTTTAGTTCCTTTTATGCATTCTCTCTTTTTACTATTTCTCTATTCCCTAATTCTGCTGCTATATACCTTTTTCTCTGAAACTTCTTGGTCTTTTCTATGTGTGTACTGTTCTACAAATCTACTCCCCGCCATCTATCCTTCAATATTCACTTTATCTTTCACCTTTTCTTTCTCGACTGTTCTCTTGTTCTCGATATCTTACCTTGTGTTCCTACAACTCTATGACCAACCTTTTCCCTTTATCCTGTTCTTTTATCTGGCCACGGAAAATCTGTAGGATCCTGGAGGAGCCTGACACTTCTGTCGCCTGACACTTCTGTCGCCTGACACTTCTGTCGCCTGACACTTCGCCCTACCTTTCCCTATTTTATTTGCTCTTTCTGTGATGCCCTTTATGTAAATCAAAATGATTTTCTATACCGATGAGATTTGTTATTAAGTCACTTTTGAATTGAAATATTTACATTTTGCTGTCAGGTACTTTGGAAAGCAAAGCATTTTAAAACTCATATGCCGCTCTGCTTCTTCCATTTTATATTGCTCTCTTATGAAAATATGTAAGTTTCAATTTTGTTTACGAGCATTTTAGTCAATTCTTTATATTTGGAGCAATTTCAATTTTATTGGCAGTAGCAAAGACCTTTATTTGTTTTGTCCTTTGTGACTTATAATTTTTCTTGGCAATTTTCTATTCACTTTTAAGGGCAATTGAGAGTTATGTTATATGTTTGTAACTATTTGAATATTCCTATTTTTAATTCATGCATTTTGTATGTTCATTTTATCGATTGCAATGTTGAAATTCAGTCTTCATGTTTACCATAAACATTTGCAGTTTTAGTTACGTCTTGTTACTTTTATTGTTTCATGTCCTATATTTGTAATTAAGATTTGCATTGCATTCTCTTTTAATAAGTTGTTACATTACACAGTTGAGTGGTGTATCTCAAAGTATGTTTTTTACAAATTTGATGTTAAAACCCCTCAAATATATTGAACAGACGAGTGTTAAGACGAACGTGTATTTGTGTACCCTTCTGGATCTTACAGTGCCATGGCAACGGACCCGAAGGAGAAAAGGTTGTACCTGTCCTGATTATTGTGTAGATTGGGAAGGCTGTGTGTGTTATTTCTTAATAGTTAAGGTGAAAGTACATCACCACTCATCCACAGACAGCTTTCTGCCTTGAGAGTTTGTGAGGGATATTCATTTTGCGGTTCTGCTTTTTTTTTGGGGGGGGGGGGGGGGCGAGGATTGTTTTGTTTTTAGAGTAAACAGGGCCCATCTATCACGGCCCTTACTCTTTTTATCCCGCTTCATGGGGCACCGCCATATTTGACAGTGTGGTGAAAGGGCTTTGCCCACAGACATCCTTACAAGCACAGAACATTTTGGTGGCAGCGGTGGGATTGTCTGTTTACGCTGAGCAACTTTACTCTTTAATGAGTGGTGTGGTTACTCTCACAGCTTTGCAAGGTTGATATGAATTCAGTTGTCACATTTTTGTGCCATGTCAGTGTAGGATTTATCCCTAGCCGTTTGCTATTTGAGGACTTTTATGTGCCAGTTTTATAATTTTGTATCTGAATACTTTTTTTAATGCTTTAGTTTTTTTTTTTCTTTAATGCCCATTTTATTATTTTATGCCTAGACTGTGTTTCTCGTTTTCAATCTTGCTTAGGAGTTTTTAAGTGCATACCCATTTTAAGCTCTCAGCCATCAGCTGGTATTACATTTTTGAGTATTTTCTATTCTTACCAATTTGGCATATTTTACCTATGATTCCTTTAGCTGCCAGTTTGTCATGTTTTACAATCTTTTGGTCCTTTTTGCTGACGGTTTGTTGTGTTTCACCCTCCAAGTTTTTTTGTTGAGAGCTTGGTACGTTTTATCTTATCTTTTTGTTGCCTGTTTAGCATATTTTACCCTTCGTGGTTGAATTTTCCTTTGTTTATTTAGCCTTTGTGGTCGGGTTTTCCTTTTGAGAGTTTACCCTTAGTGGTCGTTTTTCCTTTGGTGTGAATTTTACCCTTCGTGGTCGTTTTTCCCTTGGTGTGATTTTTACCCTTCATGGTCATTTTTCCTTTGTGATTTTTACCCTTGGATCTTTCGCATATGCAATGTGGTGTTTGTTTTGTTCTCTCTTGGTAGGTTACCATGTTTGGCACCTCCTGTACTATTAGTAATATGTGCCATGAAAGGTAATTCTTTACATAACTGAACTCTATACTGTAAGTTACCTGTACCTCATGTGGCATTTAGGGAACTTTGTGATACTCCTTATAACTTAAGTCTGTTTTTTATAACAGATTACTTTCACTTCCCTTAGTTGGTGCTACTGATTTCTTTAAATGTTTACTTAGGGTGACTTGTATACGGCGTACTGTACACACCATGCACACACGTACACACCCCGCACACGGTCTCATATTCGTCACACACATGCCCACACCTGCTACAACACAACACTAAACACACACAATGCCTTACACTACTTCACACTACATAGACATACATCTTATACACTGCAACACTACACCCACACCCATTACACCATGTAACACCACACCTACGGCTCTACACATCTATAAGCACCTTTGTTCAGCCCTGTATGTGTCCCACCCTTTTTGTAAGCATGTCTAGGCATAACCTATGTAAATGTATAAGGCGGTAATATGAATGTTGAATAAGAGGAAACTGAAAGTGTCAAAAACGGTGATGGGCACACAGGCTAATAAGCAAAAAAACACAGTCAGTGAGTCAGCCAACCTCTCCTTTAAACCAATCTAGTTTCGCATTGGACTCTGCCTATTGTAGTTGAGGGCTCAAATCCGGAAGTGACTGAGAATGATGGAGGCTTATCTCTCAAAGGATAGATCAAATACAAAGAGAGGCTAAAAGGTTTATTCCTGTTGAGTTAACTAAAAGGATAATGGAGGTCGAACAGAGGCAAAGGGCCCATACTTCAGGGGCAGGGGAGATCTCGGAGAGTTCAGACGAGAATGCAACCAGGCCAGACAACTCGGCTTCACAAGAGGTTGCAAGGGAACAGGAGGTAAACTTGCTGGGTGCTATGTCACGAGTTAACCTCGACCAAGAGGGTCGTGCACATGACAGTACACTAATAGTGAGAGGCCTACAGGCAACTCTCCTGCATTTGAGGATGCCCGCAAATGCTACAGGGGGAAAGGAACCTGTGTAGGCGAGCTGAGCTGCAGTTAAATGACCGTATTTTCTCGGATGGAAGGTTATCTGGAGGTTTATTAGAACCCATATTGCAGACTGGAGATCATCCCCCTCAGAGACTCCAAAGGTCTGATGACCCTGTAACTCGGTTGTCACGGACTGGCATACAAGAGCAGAATATCTCCTTCATCATGACCAGAGAAACAGTTCCCCATTTCAAAAGGGAAGCCCTAGCCTCTGAATCACTCGAAAGGAATCAGGAAATCGAATCCTGAATAAGGGCAATTAAAAACATAGCAAGGCCCTCATCAAGTAACCCTTACATCCGGTCAGTTCGTGCTAGCTGTAGAGGTAGAGCAGAAGCAACAAACTCAGAATGCCTTGACCTTTATAAGGAATTAAGATGGAAATTCAGGTACTTATTTTACAGCTGACCCCTTTAAAGTCCTCTATGATCAAACAATAAGGGAGAATCAAGCCCCCATGGACTATTTCTTCCAATTAGAAGGCTTGGTGTACCAGGGGTTTTGTGACCACCGATAGCCTATTGGACAACCATCCGAGTTGATAAGATTTTTTTTTTTTTTCTGCTGTTCCATTCTGGATGAGAGACTTTCTAGCACTCAAAGAGAGTGACTGATATGAAATTCGAAATGGAGGGTCGACTACCGTCCGGCCAATAATTTAGATGAAGGTTACCGCTGAAAGTGGTTTGACACAGGTTACCAGCGGCGCAATAGAATCCCAACCCCAGTCGCTGCTGTCAAAAATCGACAAACACACCAGACATGGTCTGGTGTGAGTACCACTGCAACTCAGGGGACAGTACTAGGCAGTGCATAGCCCTAGGCAATGCGCAATGGAATCGGCCCTTGATTTGCTACAAGTGTCCGCGGGAGGCCCACCTTTCCAGAGATTATTACTTTCTCTCAGGCCAGGGTGGCAGAGTCCCAGGCCCCTCTGGCATCAGAACCCCTAGGGACAGAACCACGTAAATCCCGCCAGCTCAGGCAGTGAGTGCAAAGGGGAAGCCAGGACGGCCTCTTGTGGCACTCAGTATTAATGGCCACACCCTTATGGGTTTCACTGATACTGGGAGTGAGGCCACACTAATAAAGGTGGCTCCTCTTCAGTGAGTGGACAGTGAGAAGACTTTAACCAACCAAAAATGCAGTAAAATGTAAGAGAGTAATGGGTTCAACTCTTTATCCTCAAGCTGAGGTTAACTTCCCGTTCCATCTGGGAGGCCAAGTAACCCCTAAACATGTCATCTTCACTGCTGATCTGCCTTTTCCCAGTGGCATGCTGATAGAAATTGATTTACTAAGGAGGGTGGATTTCACACTGTCTGCTGAAGCACATTCTCCCCATGGGACACTTTGGGGAGCCAGCCACTCTCAATGCTATACACTTACGCTGCATCACTGCACATGTCCGTGATAAATGGGTCTTCCCAAGTGAAACCAGCTGCAGTGTATCTCCTACGGAAGACATAGGTTCCTCCACACTCCAAGGTGTTTTTTAGAAGCCTGTATAGCTTGAGCTGGTCCAACAGATGGGGATGTATTAGTAGCCACAATCGTTAAACAAACGCTGTCCATCCCTCATAAGGTTACCAGCACCAGTGACCGTAGATGTTGTATATAGGCATTAAATTCCACACAGTCCCATAATTTTAGGCCATGAAACAAGATAGTTACAGAAATTTATGAGTTGTATATGAAGTCAGATGATCAGGAGGAGACTACTGTTGGGCAGGGCATAACCCCCATCAGACCAGGTCTTTTTGGAGATCATTCGAACCAATCTCATATATTACTGCTGGGATGAGCAGACCCCCCACCAGCATTATGCACACATGCTGCTACCGAGGATAAACAGAATCCTCTCAGACCAGGATCTTGGGCAGACAGAGGTGCCACCCATGACAAGTTTAATCACGGGAAGCCAGACTCCAGTGACACAGCTGCTGGGATGAATAGACACCCCATCAATGTTAGCCCCAATGCTGAAGCAAAAGTCCAAAGTGTTGCTGCCGAGGGTAAACAGAGCCCCGTCAGACTAAAACCTCAGGCCGGTTTAAATGTTAATGTTAAATGTTTTTGTAGGATGATTACAGTATGGAATTAGTTGAAGACAATGAAATGTCCTACAAAAATTTTGACATTGAAGGATTTGTGCTGCTCCCTTTAGTGGCACTTTTTGTAATGGTTGGAAGTTTTAGTAGAGAGTCCAAACTCTCATATATTGAATGTCATGTGCATTACTCTCAGTAACATATTTGCCGACATATCGTGAGGGGAAATCAGAGATTTTATAAAAAAAAGGAAATTCTTATTTTCGTTCAATGCTTTTACAAGCTGGTGTGCCATACCTCGAAACAGCGATAAGTACAAAGACCGACGTTGCAGTCGGAGCAGCAAGTTTTGTTGCTTCGTCGGTGTCCTCTCATTGAACACATTCGGCACCGCCTCCTCCTTCCTGCTGGAACTCGAGAGACTACGTGACTACGTTTCATCCGATCCCAGGGCACGGTGGACGGCCCAGGCATTGACAATGGCCATGTCAAAGAGGAAAAAGAAGACCTTCCTGTACCAGACCTTGGAGCGGCAAGTCGTCGGATAGTAACTGGCTATTTGATCACCGACTTTGCAGCGGTATGGACTGTTGACAGCATGGTGACATGGCTGCGGTCCTTCCACAACAAGGCCAGCATGCCAGTCTTGCTGCTGCAGTAACCGACATCACCCTTCCTCCTCACAACGAGGTCCTTGGGCATGAACTTCCTGTTCAGCCGGGCTGTGCCTACCGCATTAGTCCTATGGGATTGCAGCAAATGAAAAAGCGTTGGCGACGTACACCAGTTATCCACAAATAACTGATACCCTTTACCAAGGAAGCCGCCAAACTTCATCAAATGCAGCACTGCTTTTGTGGACGAGGGAATGTCGCCACGGTCCTTCCCGGTGTACACCTCAAAGCAAGAGGTGTACCCTGCAGGTACTGGCACAGAGCTTGTAGACCTTCAACCCGAACCTCGCCCTCTTGGTTGGGTTATAGGTCTTGAAGCCAAGCCTACCACGAAACTTCCATAACGACTTGTCTATGGCAATGTCCTGCCCCGGTACGAAGACCGATCAGAACGAGTCATTGAGGGAATTTACGACTGGTCGGAGCTTCCACAT